ACGTGGGGCCAATTAAAAAAGTCAGCACAAGAATTACTGAACATTAGCTGTAAGATAAAAGCAGCCAATAAATGTAAGAAGGCACTTTCTGCATATAATATTTCAGTCTTCAGTAATATAACTGTTTTGACAAGGAAACCAGATGCAATTTAGAGAAGTCCTATTTTTACACAAGACTTAAACAGTTGGCCTTTAAATTCAGTGGGTGATTACAAGAAAGATGATAACAGGTCCCCTTCCAAAAAGGAAGGGTATATTAAGCCCCTACATGATAGGTCATAGCTTTGAGACAGAAAAGGCACTAAATTAAAGTAAAAAATTACAAGCATCATTCAAAAGGCAGGCACGCTTATTTTTTCTATAAGGACAATTGGGATTTTGACTGGGAAGGCTTTGGTGACAACACGCTTTCTATTCCATGGAAAGAAAGTTTTCTTAAGGAAACATTTCAGAACTTTGTGTAGTAACTGATAAAGTTCAAGGCACGAACAGTGAGCAAAAAACAGGTTGAGCTGTACAGCAATTTGTAAAAAAAGCATAAGATACCAAAACATCCAGGAAACAATGATAAAGTCTTTAATCAGCTACTTGGTTCATGCACTGTTTTGTCCTTGTACTGTTTATACATTGATAAAACAAACAGTTCTCTCTTTTAGCTTAAACAGCCAAAGATACTTAGAGTATTTTATCCCTGCTTTCCTAAAGTGCAACACTAAGTACTGTAACTGTTAAGCTGTGAAAAATTGCTGGATCGCAGTGGTCATCACCATGTGTAATATTCTCCCAGCATTACAAGCCCCTTATTGTTGGGACCAAACTTTCTCCTTTACTATGAAGATGAATTGCAATTTCTTTTCCAGCACATCTCCCCCGACACAGAGGCACTGCCTAGAGGCACTAGGGCAAACAAATCTCACCCTGGGCCATGACACTTCTGTTACAATTTATGTACAGTGGGGAAAGGATTCAGATTCTGTTCAGCAAAGGATTGAGTTCACAGTTTTCTAATTACCACAGTATCAGATCAAGTGCTCAGGCACCTGCAACCCAGCAGACCTTTGACATTACTAGATGTCGGCCTATAATGCGATCTCTACTTCCAGCATCAGCTCAATAAGTAAGCCATCCATGGAACACAACCCACAGAGACCCATTTCAGTAGTTTGTTGAACACAGCTTAGTCATAATTTTGAAGCAAGCTGAACAGCAGATCCTAGCTCTTCGGGCAGGGCAATCATAAGCAGCTTGCTTTCTCCCATACAGCACTGCTGCACAGGCAGAGAGGAGGTATCAGTTCTCCCTCTGACATCTCACAAGAAATAATGCCAGTCTGACTGGACAAAAAGCTAACTCAACCAGAGGAGAAAGTTAATACAGTTCAGTCATGTTTCCAGAAGAAGCCTGCAAAACCTGCTGACGATCGCACTGACACCCTACATCTTCCTCCTTACCCCTCCTTCCTAAGCCCTTCTGTTAACGAGACACTGACAAGGAACATGTAAGACTGCTTTGAAGTAGGTCTGCACTCCCTTAACTGCGCCTTCCATATGAGCCAGAGAGCTCCTCTTCCTCTTGGAGTTTAGGTGGTCAACAGAAACTACTGTTCCTCTTAGAATAATGCTTAGCCTTGGACTGCGAGTTTCATCTCACACACCCGCTTACAACCACCCAGAAAACACTGAACTTGAAAGAGACCAAAGGAGTGCTCAGGTACAGTCACCCACCTGCGTAATGCACTGAGCACAGATCCTCTCGTAGGACACTCACCACCCTAACTTTCCTACTTTCAGTTTGTTACTAACAGCCAGCTTTCTTGCTGCTGAACTTCCTCTTCAGTCTTGCCCTTCAATCTTCCTCTTCAATCTGCATGTTCAGTGCAGCTGTTTGATTGCTCTCCTACTCACTTTCGTTTGTTTCAGGTTCCTCCTTCCTTGAATTTGTCATTATTTCTTAACACCACTGCTAGTCACACAACAAAACCAGAGACACTGATCATGTAAGAGAGGCTTGTTTCATCAAAGTTACATGAAACCTTTAAGTGACTGTGAATAATCAAAAGCCTCTCTTCGGATCTACTGATTTTTTTTTTTAAAGAAAAAGAAATCTAATCCACCCCTCTCAGGATTAGCATCCTTCAGAGCAGCATTTCTCCTTCCCCCTTTATTTTCCTGCCAGGCTTGGCTACAGGAAGGAACACCACGTCCATGCTTTTCTAATGCATCTCCATCTAGTTTATTAAAAAAATTGTTATTTAAAAAAAAAAAATTTATTTGTGCAGTCATCGTGTACGCTTTGCTTCAGTACTTTTTAAACGCAAAAGTAATACAGCAAGACGGTTGCAATATTAAAAAAACTCCTCATGTTAACCCTGCTGAGTATACTTCAAGAATTGGTAAAATTGCATTGGAAGGCAGGCATTTGTATGTTTCAGCCATGTTCGTGGAGTAAACTGCAGCCATTTCTCTACAGCCCCTCAACACATATAAGAAAGCATTTTTGTTTGTTTTGAAGTATCAAAGAAGTGACTAACACTCTCACAACACCCTAAGTTCTTTTCAAACTCCTTATCCCCTTTACGGGTCAATATTAAAATTAGGAGACACAGGAAGACTGATGCCAAACAGACACAGGAGTTACCAGCGAACATGTTTAGACGAATGTGACACAGAGAGGTACAACAAGGATCTAGGAAGGGCCACACAAGCCCTCATCCATTTTCTCTATCTATGCACACAGAGGTGTAGAACGGGAAACAGAAACCCAGAGGTAAGGCAGGGACCAAAGATAACGGGGCCATTCAGACGTGTGTTTACGCAAGGCAACAGTGTATAACATTAGCTAGAACCCTATCTAGTAAGAACATGCCTTGCGGTAATTAACTATGTGATAAACTGCTACTTAGTACCTGGACTCAGCCTGTCAAGGGCTGCAACTGAGTTACCGAAGAGTAATTTGAGTAGTCAAAGTATCACTCAAAAAAATAGTAAAAATTAGTTACATTTGACTTTTATCCAAAGGACACTGACTGTGTGGGTTTCTGCCCAGAGCTAATGCGAAGCATGACAAGAGTTTGGAAAACAGACTGGCATGAGATTTTCTTTAGCAATATGGTATGCTAAGTTTACACCTAATTTGTCACTCCACATCAAGCTAAGTTCACTGAAAATGAAAGTAACAAAAACTTAAAAAAAAAAAAAAATCAACAAGAGAGCTATTTCCAGGGAGTACTTCAACACTGGGGGCTTTTTTTTACATTATTGACTAATTCAATTTCACATTATTGCTTCATGCCTGAAGGCTGGTCTATAAATCACATTAAGCAAAGCAAACATCTCAGTGCTATTCCTAATAGTTTGAAAAAAATTCTTGAACTCCAAGGAACTGCCAGCTCAGTTACATACCACAGAATGAAACCTGTTTTCCTTCTCAACAGCGTAAAGAAAAAAAGTATTTTTCTAATAGTGCACTGTAATTCTAGCAAGAAGAGACTAAGGAGGTAAAAAAACAAACTCCTTCACGCCCTACCTTTGGGGGTCAAAAGGTCTGGCACAAATATCTTAAGGGTTTGTGCAAGCTTTCTCTAAAAAGCTTGGTCAAGTTAACAGGTGTTACTCCCTAGAAACTCAGGACAGTGTCTATTACACTTCTTGTTGGGGAAGGACATGAAATGAGGCATTTAATACTTCTTGTTTTCTGCAATGCCTCCCTAGCACATGATCACCACTCTAGGGTTAATGTTTTATCACTGCAGTGAAAGCTCTGATATCTAGGTAAATAAAGGCACAGTAAAATATTTAGAAAGACACTCAATTCCCCATCTCCCTTTCCCATTTCTAGATCAACTCAATTTGGTTTTTTCGACAGCAGAAACTACGACAGGACGTTCAAAATGCTTATAACTGTCTTTTCCCTGTCATGACCAACCAAGATGCCCACATGGCTTCCTACAGAACACCACACTGCAAGCCAAGCCACCATGGAACTTCCGACACCCTCGTAAGGTTTACAGCAAATGTATTTTTTCTGGTTATATGACAGCACAAATAAATCAACAATTATTTTTCAGCAAAAACAGCCTTTAAATCAAAAGGCAACGCACGACAGAGCTGTAACATTTCTGGACAAGCTACACATAACACTTTTTCAGAGTTCTTCATTCCTCTGGTGTACAAATGCCACATAATATTTTCTGGACTAAATGATGTAATTTCTAAGCCACACAACTTTCGACCTCCATGTACAGAAACTATATCCAGATTCTAGTTTCTCACCCAAGCTAATGGGAGAAACCAAATGTAAAAGAGCAGTGATGCATCCACTGGTATACAATTCAGTTTATGAATATGCTAAATTTATACAGTGAATTAACTCAAGGCTTATTTGAGCTGCTACTTATTTCATTAGTGGCTGTAATCGTTTGCTTGATCACTTTCTGCAATTTTATCTACAACAGTCCCATTTGCCCTTCAAAAAACATTATTATAGTAGAAATCTAGTATTTCATTACAAAATCCCATCTATGTTTCAAAATCATAAAAAACAACTCTCAGAAATGTATCTGTACCTTCAGTAAGTTACTATTACCTAAAGAAACTAATTGACTAAATATTGCTTATGAGTGAGGAAAAAGCTGCATCTAACCTCAACTACTTCAGTCAAATATAGGGAAACATACTAGTATTACACTTACAGGTGTTTCCTTAAAAGGTGACTGTCGGCCCTTGAGGATTAAATGAGACCAGTCACCAAAACCATACCTAAAGCAAGACCTTAAGGCAACTCAAGCTTAAGGCAATCCCTTCTCCCAGGTTTTACAGACTTTCTTTACTATTTATGATCAATTATCACAGTCCAGGAGGGACATATACTTGTAATGGCCATGGGAAAAGCCTGCTTAGGGTTTCACTTAAATTACTTCTCCAGTTTTTGTCTCACAAACATGAAATCATTACTCCTTTCATTCATGAATCCAATTTCAGTAGCAAAATCAGAAGACTTACAGTTTAATGCATATCCAGCTTCAAAGTCACAGAGCTTCACGTTCTCGTGGCCTGGGAAAGGAAGAGTTATAATGCCGGTAAGAGCACACGGCCAACATATCACGGGAGTAAGCGTCTCAGAACCGCACGCTTAACCCACAAGCGCCGCACTTCAAATAACCGCGTTAAACCCTGATTTACCTCTCTGGGTGCCCACGAAATTCATAGCTGTTGTACCCCAGCAACCCTCCCTCCCCTCCTGGCCGGCCTCGCACCGCTCGGGCGGGGACGCGGGTGGGAGAGAGGGAGGGGAGGAGGTGCCGCGGCATCCCCGCCACGGCACCACGCCCTGCGCCGGGCACAGACCGAGCACAGGCCGGGCATAACCCGAGCCAAGCCCAAGCCGAGCAGAGCCGAGCCCGAGCCCAGCCCGAGGCGCCCCGCCGCTCGTCCACCTGCCCGCAGCAGCACCTGCCCTCCAGTCGCACGCTCCGGCGAGGGGGGCGGGGGAACACGACCATTAAAAAAGCAAACAAACAAACAAACAAGCAAACCCCTAGCCCCCCCGCACCCCCCCCCTCCCCCCCCCCAAAAAAAAAATCACGAAAAAACAACCCCTCTTCTTTATTTTTTTTTTTCGATCGCCCACCAGAAAACGTGTTGCCCGCTCCTCCCTCTCTCTCTCTCTCTTTGCCCGAGCGCCAGGCGCGATGACCGCTGAGCATCACCCGCGGCACTGCCCGAGCGCGGCCGGAGCCTCCCCCGCAACGCCCCGCCCAGCACCGGCCCCCGCCGCCCCCGGGCACCGCGCTCGGCCCGCACCCGCCGCTTCCCGGCCGCGGGCTCGGCGCTCCGGGAAAAACACCGGGCTGTCCCCGACGGCGGCAGCAGCGCATCCTCCCCCTTCCCCGTCCCTCCGCTCGGCCCCCCGGGGAAGGGAGCGGCCGCGGCGCAGCCCAGCCCGCCGGCAGGTACAGGGAAGGGCGGCGAGAGCGGGGTCCCCGCACCCTGCCCCGCCACTCACCGCTGCCCACGGCGGCGCCCGCTCCTTTGTCTGCCCGCCGCGCCCCGGCACCGCCGTGTCCCGCTGCCGGGCGCCCCGCGCCCCCTTCCCCGCCGCGCCGGAGGACGCAGCCGAGATCAGCGGAGGAGGAGGAGGAGGAGGAGGAGGAGGAGGAGGAGGCCGCTGCCGCCCGGCCGTCACATGCAGCGGGCGGGCGCGGCGCAGGCTCCCGGTGGCTCCCGGGGGGCCTGGCCGGCGGCGTCCGAGGCGAGCTCGGGGGCGAAGATGGCGACCTGGGCGGTGCGGGGAGGGAATCCCCGGCCCGCTGCTGCGCTGCGCTCCGCGCTGCCGGCTGGGCTGGGCTGGGCTGGGCTGGGCGAGCCGGGGAGGGGAGGGGACAAAGAGCGGCTGCCGCTGCCCGTCAGCGCTATCGCCGCCCGCTCCGCCCCCGCCGCCGCCGCCGCCCCTGGGAGCCACCGCCCGCTCCCTCTGCCCGCGGCAGCAGCGGTCCCCACCGACCGAGGCAGAAGGGAGTAGCGGGATGCCGGGTCACGAAAAGCTGCTGTGTGGTTGTGGTCGGACCTCCGGGAAAAGAGAAGGGTCTCTGGCTTCTGACCTCCCTCTGCTGACAGCAGCACTCTGAGTGTCAGTAAAAATGTCCCCGTGCTGCATCCCCGGCCTCCCCCACTTCCCCGGGCAGTCCCTTCAGTCGGTGGCAGAGAGGTCGTGGCTCGTCGTGGGTGCTCCACACCTGTGACTGGTTCCCTGATTCAAAATAAGTGCCGCTGCGGCTCTCTCGTAGAAAGCTGTCGCCACTCCGTTTTCCACCAGATCGTGCGTTGTCTTTTAAAAATAATGGAAAAAAAAAAAAAAAAAAAAAAGAGGGTGGCAAGCATTACCCAAATATGAAACACTAAGAATGCATGAGACTCCTTGCTGGGTAGAGAAGTACGGCTGGCAGCACTACCCAGGGGCACTGTCGAGCTGTGGCTCCCCACGCAGGGACAGGTTGCCATCTCACCTGTGCACTGCTCGTCCCAGTTTTGCACATCGTCTGCGGTTCAGTGGTGTGAGTGAAAATGGAAAATGTGGCAGTGCTAATGAGTTGCCAGTAACCTGTATTTGGACAATATCGCAGGGAATTTGTGGAGACACCAGCTGTGAAGTGGAAAATTTCCTGGTCTATACCTAAATGCACAAACTTATACACTTTCACACTATAAAATAGTGTGAAAAGGTACCATGCATATAAAAGATAATTAAAAACATTTTGATCTCTCTTTTTAGCCTGGATGCTGACATTTACACTTAACTAGCGATACAGATTTCTTGACTGACAACATTTGGGTTTTATTATTTTTCCAGACTGTTTCTTTACAATTTTGGACATTTCTATAAGAGGGCTTTGTGTCTGCTGAGGTACCAGATGTGCTTATGCCTAATTTGCCTTCAGGAGGATACAGTGGGAGAAGTTTCTGCATCAGGCGTGCCCTGCCACTGATCTCCTCTTGCAGAGACAGAGTCACTAAAAATGAGTTTCAGCTCAGTGCCCTGCCAATGGCGTTTCTGTTCTGTTTAGATGACGAGCACCCTTATTTAGATCATAGAATCAACGAGGTTGAAAGAGACCTTTAAGATCCTCCAGTTCAACCATCAACCCAGCACTACTGCTTTAACCCCTTAGCCACTAAATCATATCACCCAGCACCAGACCCAAATGCCTCTTAAACACATCCAGGGGCGGTGACTCCATAACCTTCTTGGACAACCTATCCCAGTGCCTGATCATTTTAACTGTGAAAAAAATTTTCTAATGTCTAATGTGAATCTCCCCTGTCTCAGCTTAAGGATGTTTTCTCTAGTTCTCTCACTTCAGGCAAGGTAGAAGAGACCAACCCCCATCTCACTGCCTCCTTTCAGGTAGTTGTAGAACGATCAAGTTCCTCTGAGCCTCCTCTTCTTGAAACTAAACAAACCTTAGCTCTGTCAGCTCTTCCTCATCAGATATGATTTCTAGACGCTTATCAAGCCTTGTTACCCTTCACTGGACAAGTTCCAGCACCTCATCGTCCTTTTCAAAGTGAGAGGCCCAGAAATTAACGCAGCACTCGAGGTGCGGCCTCACCAGCGCCAAGTACAGGGGGATGATCACTGCCCTGGTCCTGCTGGCTACAGCTCTTCTTGGTACTGGCCAAGGTGTCATTGGCCTTCTTGGCCACCTGGGCACACTGCTGGCTCATATTGAGCCAGCTGTCAAACAGCACCCCCAAGTCCCTTCCTGCAGAACAGCTCTCAAGCCACCCCTCCCCAGGCCTGTAGCGCCACTTGGGATCACTGCAGTCCAAGTTCAGGACCTGGCACTTCGCCTTATTCGTACCTGCAAAGATTATTTCCACTCTGCTGAAGATTTTCATTACTGTTAAAGGGTTTTACTTCACAAGAATCCTGTGAGGTAGAGAAAGTATTGTTATGCCCACTTTCAAGATGAGAAATTGCAGCATAAAGAGGCGGTATAGCTTGCCTCAGGTCATACATATAGGATGTGGTAAAACCAGAAACTTAATCCAGCATTTGAGTGGAGATCCAGTCAGTCTAAACCACAAGTTCATTTTCTTTCTCCAGCTCTGTTTCTCAGGACTCCACTCCTGAAAAATTATTGGAGAAGCAACAAAGCAATATTAAAGAAGACATGCTACAAGAAATTCTGTTGAACTTGCGCAAAAAATAATGTGTAGTTGAATTGAACTGTTGAGAGTAGGCATATTTACACAGAAAATGTCATCAGAAACATCATCCTGGTTTTTTAAGTGTACAAACCAGTAAGGCAAACACGATGCAATGTGTCATTTCAATATTGTCTATTTCAGATATACGATGTAAGGACTTCTGGGTTTTATTAGTTTAATTCTGTGCAGGAACAGGTGAATTGGAGAAACATCACAGAAATCTTTGGCCAAAGCAGCTAACACAGTAATGATATCCTGAAGGACTATACACTTGAGGAGTACCATTATACTCTAAAGAGTTGCGGCATTTTCATCAAGCACTGTGGTAAAATGTGCCTTGAATGGTTCCCCACAGCAATTCCTCTCAAGGAACAAAGCGCCTGCGCCCACAGTCATCTGAGTTAGACGGTTCCAGTACAGCTTCAGAGTTTCAGGCATCCCCACCGTCACGTGCCTCCACAGACACCCGTGTGCCCAAAGGGATGTTGTGTAGCCAGTAGCATAAACCTCTGAGAAGACCTTTTCAAATCAGGTCCAGCAGCAGAGTCAGAAGATTCATCTACATTGTGAAAGCATGTGCCAAACGCTTGTCAGAAGGCAGTCATGTGCCAGGCTGCTTCTGGCAGCAATGGTACATATTTAGCTGTCATTGTTACTAATAAAGTACTAATCATGTTGTGTCTGAGAACAAACTGTGTACAGAGCCAGCCATGCTTGCAAGTAAACTCAATTAAGCCTTCAATAGATTCAACTGAGTTGGACAAATGCGCTCTGACCAACAGTTTGTATTCTGCTTTATTACGGTTAGTTCCTCAAAAGCACAGTCACAGTGCCTTTACCACTTTCCAAGTGTCTCTCTTGTGTCTTTCTGACTAAATACTGACCATTATTCTGATTTCTTTTCCCAGTGATAGTCTTGGCAATATTACTGACAATTTTTACTAATTACTTCTTCCATATCCCAAGTTGGGCAAGAACTTTTTCTTTCAAAAACCTCTTTCTCTCTCCTGCTGTTCTCAGGGTGTCATGCCAAAGCATGAAAAACAAAAATGGTCAGGCAGAAATAAATCAATATTTATATGAACCTTTGATGATATACAACATTATTCCCACCTTGTGGGCCAGAGTGTTTCCTAATTAGCATGCCAAACACAACAAATAGACAGTTGCTGGCTTTGATGGTGTCTGTAAAGAACCCAAACAAACAAACAAACCAAACCAAAACAAGACAAAACAAAACAAAACACAAAACAAAACAAAACAAAAAAGAAGATTGATTTTAAGAGGGAAAAGTTACCTTACAATTCCAAATTTAAAAATATGTTATTCCCTTTTTTGAGTGAACAAAACAGCATGGGTATAACACTGACAAACTCCGTGGGATTCCTCTATTTCTACTGTAGCCACATACAAGTCAGTGAAGGTGTGCACCAGCAATTACAAGTGGTTAAGGCAGCTACTCACTGAGTTGCGTTAGCTGACTGTGCCTGCATTCCTTACCTGTGGCAACTGTGTACCTTCATCCCTTCATTAGGAATCTTTCCATGGAAAGGGCTGTTAAACATCGGAATGCACTGCCCAGGGAGGTGGTGGAGTCACCATCCCTGGAGAAGTCCAGAAAACAACTGGGAGTGGCACTTAATGCCATGGTCTAGCTGACAAGGTGGTGATCAGTCAAAAGGTTGGAACTGGTGACCTTGGAGGTCGTTTCCAGCCTAAATGATCCTGTGAGTGTGTGATTCATGACGGCAGCCTGGGCAAACACGTTTTGTTTTGCAGTTGCCACAGACAAGGAACCAGGAATACAGCCCGTTTGTTGTGGCTCAGCTAACAAGAGGAAACGTGTTATGCCTTGCTCACTCAGTCAGTTGCAGGGTCTGCCCAGGGCCAGTGCAGAAGGTGAGCCCAGTCACAGCCACCAGCTTTAAGAGGAGACCAGCCCAGTGAGTGTGGGTGCTGGGGGCAGAGAAGAAAGGCTAACTTCTTGCTTGTCTTCTTTTATGGTAAAAGAAGCTGGTGGGGATATTCACCTTCCACTGTTTCCTCTAATTGATTCTTCTCTGTGAACAAGACAGGGTAAGGAAAAAACTTGCTATTTTTTCCAGAAGAGCAGAAGTTTCAGCCAGAAGTCCCAGCAAAGTCTCTGAATCTGCACCCCATTTTGGATACCAGTCTCCCCCTATGTGGCCCAATAATTGTCCATGTGGAAGCTGATGCACCATGCCTGCTCTCTTAAGGCTTTATAAATACTGTATGTCTTTTTCTGAGTTAGAACCAGAGACATAAACTGAGGTGCTCTTTCACCAAGTAGTGTGAAGCGGATTTACCACTCCCCAAAAAGGTGTGGAGAGAGAGGAAAAGAATGTGTGCCCTCTTGACTCACTAAGTTCTCACGCAACATGTAAAGACCTGAGCAAAGTAGCCCAGAGCTTTCCTGCATAATAAAAAGAAGATCCTTAAACAAAAGAAGCTCACCAAGTGAAAATCCAGTGGGATTTTCTCAGATAATAGCACTGTTTCTATCAGGAAGGAACTTTGCTAAGTAGCTGCGGTTATATAGTTACTTCATTGTGAGC